AATGTTTTGACATTCGGTTTTTTAATCAATATTGCAGGGCTTCACTCCAGAGGATTTGAAGATTTTTCTAATAAATATTCATAGCATAAACATTGAGAGGATGGACCACTACAATGTGGTCCTACTTGTTGAAGATAAATGGAAAAGTCAGCAGCCGCTCGAGGATGTGCTGAAAAACAAAATGATTCCAGACGGCTTTCAGCAGCTGTTCTGGAATGATACTAAGCATGTGTCGCTAAAAGGTGAGCTTTTACTTTCTTTTCTTTTTTTCTCTTTACAAAGCTTTTTTTCACCTGCGATAAATTTAACAATTGGTTCAGAATTTTACTAGTATCAAATTTAGTAAACGTGTTTTATGCAGTAAGAACAGTTCAATGTGATTATCACTTCTGAGYGGTCCCRGATTGCACGTGTTTACTGATTGAAATTGTAATTTATTCTGTAGGACGCAAGATTCCAAATAGACTAAAGTCTATTATTGTTGGCCATTGGACTGACAGTGGTTCCATGAAAGCAGGAAGTTTCCACTTTGACTCTTGTGATAAGATAACAAATGTTTTCTCACACGAAGGAGAAATGGAGGGTGAATACCCAAGAGAATTATTCGAGTTTCTGTTGAGACATTTCTCGAACCCAGAGGCTTGGGTTTATGGTCTCAACGTAACACCTGGTGAGTTATTACGTATCCATGGAGCAGTGCTTTCACGGACTGAATATCGTTYGCTTTTTGCCATATCTCATTATTTYCCCAGAATCCATGAGTTAAAAATCATTAAAATAGTTCCTTTGGGAATCAAAAGACAATGAAACATTTGTGAAATGGTTGCAAAGAAGAACTAGTAACTACAAAAAAAGTGATTTTACCCTATGATAAGTARACGTTTGTATCACTACTCTATTTTAATCATTTTGTCTGTTTTTCTCATACTAAGGGTCGTTTGTTCGTGCTTGCATGGAACTTGGGCGGAAATGTCTCAACGTAAGTGACGATCCACGTTCGGATTCGCGCCTAATTCAAAAGGGTCTTACACGTAAAGATACCGAAGATATCGTGGAGGACAGCGAACTAGAAGAGGAAGAGGAGAAGAATGAGGAGGAAGATTCAACGCAAGACCAGGAAACCCCACAGGAAGATCCAAACAGCCAAATCGTGTATTAGTAATGAGTAGAGCCTTTAAYGTGCTGACACACGGTGCAACATTGCACGCAACATTGCAAGCAACAAATTTGAATCAGGGTGACACACATTGCAACAAAATCACGCAACATCGCTTGTATCAGCCTGCTATGTTAAGATATTTGGTCAGCAGTTATAAATTTGGTGCAAGCTGATTGGCTGGAAATTTCAAAATGTTGCAGGAAATGTTTCAATTTCCATATGATGAAATTGCACTGTTGCATGAGTAGAGCGTGATTCAACTTCAGATTTGTTGCATGCAACAAGTTTGGGGTAGACACGCGGTGCTACAGTCCGGTTTCGTGCAATTTTGCACCGTGTGTCAGCACCTTTACATTTAACCCATGAAACAKGTAGTGAGATTCTACACACAACCACATAGTAACATTATATGTCATGGAATATTTATGAAATCTCAGATTTATTTTCTAGTACCCATTCTCCTCTCGGATTTCAATATGGCAGTCGTGTTCTTCTTAGCCGATTATATCTGGACAC